TCTCACAGAATGGATTCAGGAACCTGTCTCAACAAAAAGATGGCAGCACCACTGCCAAAAAAACAAAGGGAGCTACCTACTTCACAGAGCATGCATGTTCTTGGAATCTGTCTGCATAGACTTGGGAATCGGAATGGGTTTGACAACGTGTTGCACAGGATTTGGGGGCTGTGTGAAACCATCTATCTTAAACAAAGTGCTCTGCAAACGCGTTGAACAAGACCCACTGTTTAACAAACAAGCTGGCAAGCTACCTCACAGAATGGATTTCGGAACCTGTCTCAACAAAAAGATGGTGGCATCAACGTCAAAAACAAAGGGAGCTATCAATTCACAGAGCATGTTCTTGGAATCTGCCTGCATAGGCTTTGGAATCGGAAGGGGGTTGACAACATGTTACACAGGATTTGGGGGCTGTGTGAAACCATCTTAAACAAAGTGCCCTGCAAACGCGTTGAATGAGAACAACATGGAAGACCCACTGTTTAACAAAACAAGCTGGCAAGCTATCTCACAGAATGGATTCAGGAACCTGTCTCAACAAAAAGATGGCGGCACCACCGACAAAAACAAAGGGAGCTATCTACTTCAAAGAGCATGCATGTTCTTGGAATCTGTCTGCATAGACTTGGGAATCGGAATGGGTTTGACAACGTGTTGCACAGGATTTGGGGGCTGTGTGAAACCATCTATCTTAAACAAAGTGCTCTGCAAACGCGTTGAACAAGACCCACTGTTTAACAAACAAGCTGGCAAGCTACCTCACAGAATGGATTTCGGAACCTGTCTCAACAAAAAGATGGTGGCATCAACGACAAAAACAAAGGGAGCTATCAATTCACAGAGCATGTTCTTGGAATCTGTCTGCATAGGCTTTGGAATCGGAAGGGGGTTGACAACATGTGACACAGGATTTGGGGGCTGTGTGAAACCATCTTAAACAAAGTGCTCTGCAAAAGCGTTGAACAAGAACAACATGGAAGACCCACTGTTTAACAAACAAGCTGGCAGGCTATATCACAAAATGGATTTGGGAACCTGTCAACAAAAAGATGGTGGCATCAACAACAAACACAATGGATAACCTACTTCACAGAGTGAATTTTTCAAAATGAAATTCCACTGGCGGGTCAAAAAAGGATCCGCGACAGAAAGCTAATAGAACATAACGTGTAACAAACTGGCCACAGGAGTGGATTTTGGCATTCTGTCGACACAAGACTTGGGAATGAGTTTGGGGACCTGCTTCTTCCAAAATGGCGGCTGCCTGCAAGAGACTTGGGGCGGCGTCAAATAACACAGAAGTGGGCCGTTGATTTAAGACAAGCGGCACTGCCAACAAGTTTGAACAACGACAGCATGGGAGACCCATTGTTTGACAAACACGTGGACGATTTATCTCACACGATGGGTTTGGGAACCTGGTTCCACAAGAACAAAAAGGCGGCATCAAAACCACAAGGTGGGCAATCAATCAATTTCATTATTTTCATTGAGTGGATTTTTGGAACCCGTGTCCAAAAAATGACAGCTTCTCCTGACACAGAAGTGAACCATCTATCTCACACAAGCAGCTCTGAAAACGTTTTCGAACAAAAAAAGAGGAACCTGTTTCACCATCAAAACTCTTGCGTTCACTTGAAATAACGAAGAGGGCAATCTATTTCACTGAGCAAATGCTTGGAACCTGATAGAAAACTCACACAAGCGGCTCTGAAAACGCTTCAGAACAACATGGACGACGCACTCTGTAGATACGCAATAGATTTCTGGAATCTGTCTGCAAAAGACTTGAGGGTTGCATCAAACACAAAACAGCGGTGCGGCATCTATAAATCTACCACGAGCGGCCCTAAAAATGTGTTTGAACAATATATACAATATGGACGACGCGCTGTGTAAATACCCAGCGGATCTTTGCGATCTATCCGCATGAGACTTGGAGGTTGCGTCAAATAAGAGAGAAACGCGGCATCTATCTAGCACAAACGGCTCTGAAAACGCCGTTGAACAATGCGGAAGACCCATTGTTTGAACACCCAACGACATTTTGGAATCTATTTGCAAAAGACTTGGAGGTTCCGTCAAATCATAGGACAAAGGTGGCATCTAGCACAAGCGGCTCTGAAAATGCCGTTGAACACCGTGGAAGACCCACTGTTCAACAAACAAGTGGGCGACCAATTTCACACAATTGTTTGGGAACTTGTCTCAACAAAAAGATGGTTGCATGAACTCGGCATAACAAAGTGAACCATGTGTTTCACAATGTGTTCCAGGAACCTGTGCCAAGAATTTGAAGCATCTCGTGAGCAGTAGATTCATTGGGGAGCGCTTGACAGCGGAAAACTTGGAGGCCGGCGTCACAGCATAACTTATAGGGCGTGAAAGCACGTATGCGTTTTGGACAAAAAATACACTGGCGAACAAAAACAAGCTTCCTCCGCAATAGGAAACCTTAAACTCAAATGCCCCAACGGCAAAAATGAGAAACGCTAAACTTGAACAAACCCTGCCCGCCGCCACGCCTTTTGTTTGTGCCCCACCAACCAGTCTGACAGGTCTTGCTCGCAATGTTCCGGCCGGAAAATGAAAGAAGGCTTAGGCCAAGCTCACTCACCGTGAGTCCGGCACACCCTCCCCGGTTCTTGCGAGTGTGTCCGGCCCAGCCAATAAAAAGAGGCCCAGCACTCACCATCTTGAGGCCGCGGAAGCAAAGCTTCCTCAAAAGGTTCACCCGAAGGTGCCCCCCACGGGCGCTGCCAAGATGAGGTCCACACAAGCCGTCCCCAGATCGCTGGGTGGCGCTCCTGCACGGTCAACCGCGAGACCCCACCCCCACCCCCACCAGGCATGTGGTATACAGACTGAAACCTGCACACAGGGCCAGCGAAGCTGCCTTTTGTGCCACATGCCCAGCGAAGGCAGGCTGACTAACAAATCCCGAGCGGCCCAAAGCAAGCAATTCCAGCCAGCCCAGCCAGCAAGAGACAAAACTTCACCGCAACACAGCAACCGCAAGTCAAAATCCAGTGGATGGACGCCCTGTCGAATTATATAGCTTGGCAACTAGTTTTTCTGTTGCAACTTTCAAGGACGCCGCATGCTAGCCTTTTTTTTGCAAAATCAATCGCACAAGCAAAAAACATAAAACTCATGTAGTCTATCTTTCATTTAATGCCATAGGCAACATCGGTCTTCCGCCAACTGCTCATCGATCTCAGGCATCCCAAAAGAACTTGTTTCATCCAATCAATTGCTCATTGCAAGATGTTCATGCTGGATTTGTATTGCCCTGATCATGAGTTACATAAGCCCCAAACCAAACACACACACACAGACACACAAACACACATCCACGACACAGTCGCAACCCACTCACAATTTTCTCATCCAACTGTGACCACCCCGATGATCAAGCCTATTGTTATTGTGGCTATATGATGCTATATGTAGAGTAGATTATGACAAAATTAGCCAGCTGATGCCAGCTGCAGACTTCATCCTGCGCATGGACTGCGGCTGTGCCGGTCGTCTCATCTGACCGCTTTGCAAAAGTGTATATAGGATGAACTCAGACTGAAGCAGGCAAGGACTGCCGATACGTCGACACATGCATTGGGGTGATGAATCCCTTTAATCCAACAAAGTGGTGGAGCTTACTCGCACAGATCCTCATGTATAGTGTATGTTTAGGTACAATCAGTGGGCAGTTGACGAAATTATTCAAATGCTAATGTGTTACGCCGTCACTAGCATGCAGTGCATGTCAGCCCTGGTATTTGCGCTGGGGGAAACTGCTTCAGGATTTGATCGAGCTTCAGGCTCCAGCCTGGCTCATTTGTCAGCCAAAAAATGATTGTATCACACTCCTCTTGCAGGAAGATCTTGGGCCACATGAAGTAAACCCAAAGATTTGAGACGCTGTCAACCATACAGTAATTGGTCACAGCACTATGTTCAATACCACAACCCGTGGTGGCTGCCTATAGTGATAAATCATAAGGTATACGCTGCAGTACCGCCATGTGATGCCTAGTGAAATGCTGCATGGCCATGCAACTCCCATGTGATCTACTGTAATATTATGAGGGTTGCTGCAAAACGAAATAATTACTGCAATGCTGTACTTGTGCTAAATAAGCGCACTTCAACGGCGTTGATGGTAGAATGCTGCAGGGTCTTAGCAAGGAAAAACATCAAAGACCATGATACAAAGATATACACAGAACCCATGTCGAGTGCGCAATTGAGCTTGGTACAAAAAGCATTCAATAACTTGATATAACTTGATGATGTTTTAAGCAAATTTAAGCAGCCAGTGGACAGGCCATGGGACCCGTAATGTGCTGCCACCAGAAGTATGTACGGCTGCTAAGCTTCTGCAACGGAGAGGACTAAGTTCACTCCGACAGTGGGATCTACAATTCCTTTCCTAGAGAAACACGACAATATCTGCCGACATAATATGTGACACGGTGCCGTGCGCTCGCCAAGGGGAAAACTTGACACGTTCAGCCATGCCATTTTGCAGGAACTCTTTTGCCAGGTCACCAAACCACTTCTTGAAAACATAGTCACGCTATGTCACGCTATATCATGTGCATCTTCCAAAGCAATGCATTGCGATGCCATGCGATGCACTGTCACGCAAAGCACAGTAGGTTGACCAAGTATATGCGAAATGATGCAAAATGCCATCGATATGTATTTAAATCGTCACGTATACACTGTATATACTCCATGTGACGAAAAAGTGAAATGTTCATGGCGCCATGCAATTCCAAGAGCATCGACTCATTGGCTTGCTGTATTGAGTTTGCAGGCTCAAAATGGCTCAAAGCACCGTACCCTAGAGCAGGCAAGAGAGGTGTTCCCTATGGACAAACAAGGATCCAATATCAACGCAACTATCTAGCAAGAAAGACTGACGTGCATTACGTGCATCATGAATATTCATGAATTCCGCAACTCTCGTAGTTTCAGCCTGGCGCTTCTTTTTCCAAAAGATGCTGATGATTGAGCTGCATGTTGTGGCGAATTCTTAATTGTTCTGTCAATCTCATGTGTGCTGTCATGAAACCTGATCCTCCTCCTCTAGAACTCTGGCAATTCCTGGTCAACAAAGGACTTCCGTCAAGACCTTTGCTGCCTTCTCTTGCACTCATTTTATGCATTTTGGCGATATTTGACTGTTTTGAGAAGCTGTAAGATGTCGCAAATCAGCATGCAAGCTTGCATGCAGCACTGCATGAAGGCAGCCTCTCAGGCAATGGAACAATTTCCTTCCTCTTCATCAGATGACTCCCTGAGTGAAGGTCAGACCAGGGTTGCTAAGATTCAAACAGCACGAAGTTAAAGAAGTTATCCACAAGTGCAACAGTGATACAGTGATAGTATGTCTGAGCATCATGCTCGCTGGCATCCTCACCTCAGTGCCATCCCGAACTTCATCTGATCTCATCCCGTAAACTTTGTCACAAAGTTCATCTAAGGTGGCTGCTTCGACCTCGAAAGCGGCTCTTTTCGTCTTCATCGCCCTGCGAACAGGGAGCCATGAATATGATACGTGTAATATAGTGTAATAATACGGCCAGGCCCTGTGTGTTGCCCGGAAGTTTACAGGGACGTTCCCGGCAAATTTCATGATGATGAGGATGATGATGAGGATGATGATGATGATGATTATGATGATGATGATGATGATTGAAGATCTTCAATGAATGTAGAAGTTTAACGGGGGTGGGAGAATTAAACCCTTATTGAGGATCTTCAATGAATGTAAGAGTTTAACGGAGTTGGGAGAATTAAACCCTTATTGAAGATCTTCAATGACTGTATATAAGAGTTTAACGGGGGTGGGAGAATTAAACCCTTATTGAAGATCTTCAATGAATGGAAGAGTTTAATGGGGGTGGGAGAATTAAACCCTTATTGAAGATCTTCAATGAATGGAAGAGTTTAACGGGGGTGGGAAATTTCACCCTTTTTGAAGATCTTCAACGAATGTAAGAGTTTAAGGGGGGTGGGAGAATTAAACCCTTATTGAAGAATCTTCAATGAATGTAGAAGTTTAACAGGGGTGGGAGAATTTATATGAGATGTATAGTGTGAACAAAAAATCCTTGTAATTTACGCTATTCTGGGCTTGGGCAACACACGGGGCCTGTGGGTAATAATACGCCTCGTTCGTGCGCTGCAATCAGTCATTCAACATTGCCAACAGGATGTCAAATTTAATGCCAAGACTTGAATGGAAATCGAAGAGAAAAAGAAAGAGGGAAAGAGAGAGAGAGAGAGAGACAGAGAGACAGAGAGAGAGAGAGAGAGAGAGACAGAGAGAGAGAGAGAGAGAAAGATTGCTGAAACCTTATCAAGGCCCTCAACTAGTCTCAAATTACATAGTCAGTCATAAAGCTGTTAATACAAATCAAAAATAATCATCAAAGGCTACTCCAAGCTAGACCAACAAACTTTCACACGATCTAGCCAAACATTGCAGAAACAGAGGACAACTCTGTAGATTGTAGGCAACGTGAACGCCTGCTTCGCGCCATGTTTTTCAGTGCAACGGGTTGGAACATGCTGAGCAACTCTATTTGGGGTTGTTTCCAATTCGTTTCTGCTTGCTTTCGCAACGATAGCAAATCTCTCTCGATTCAAACTGGCCAAACAACAACCAACATGAGACTAAAACATTCAAAACATCCTCACACCTCAGATAGGCACAAAGATGCACAAAGCTTACTAACATTTACTAACAGTGTTTCCACAAACTTGTGAGACTCAGTTTGCTGGCGCTACAGATTCTTTTGGCGATGACCGCCACAGCCACCACCAACACCACCACCACCATCATATCCATCATGACCATGACGATGACAATGAAGACGATAATGACGATGACGATGACGATGCCGATGATCATGATCATGATCATGATCATGATGATGATGATGATGATGAGGATGAGAATGAGGATGAGGAGGAGGAGGAGGACGACGACGACGGCTAAGGACACAGCAGCAGACTCACCACAGCAGCAGGATGAGCAAAAGAGATGAAAGAGATGAAGAGATGACAAAATCAAAGCTTGGGGCCACTCCCAGGTACCTCGCAGGAACAACTATGTCTTGTAGCCATCCCACACCTAAGCTCCAAGGTGTCACAGCACCTCCCTTGGTTTCGCCCTTCAAACCATTGAGACTCAATTATCTCTCAATTCTCTGAGCCTGGGGCTGCATGCCACCACATGAAATAACATCTTTCCACCTTCGATTTCTTCGCACCTTGCAGCCATAATCAGAAAGTGATGGCTGAACTCCTGAAAACAAGTGGACATGATTCATATCCCGCCTCTGACCAAATCTGAGTGTGCGCTTCTGTCCATTCTATGATCTCCCCAACAACCACAGATGTGTCATCGACCTTTCCACCTGACCAGGCTTCAAGTTCAGGTAAACATGGTAAACAATGAAAAGAAACGTACATAGCACAATGTCAGCACTTGGTGACTTGCTCGCGTGAGCTTTCTTGCCTCTTTCGTCCCGAATGAAATATATTTTCAAGTTCGGGCGTTCCATCATATATATTCCATCACTTCTGGACTTGCTCTCGATTGTGGCGTGCAAATGAGGCAACTGCAAGGCTGTCCCAAGCCTTTGCCAATAGGTGTGTCTAAAAACTGCCCGTTCACACAATCCGACTTTGCGTGCGACTCCTTGACGATGCGCTGCGCAGCCTTGCGAAGCAGCCAACGGTTTTGTGTATGCGCCAGCGCGTCACCCTTGGGATTTCAATGTCACAACTGTCACAACTCAACCAGTTACTGCCAGTTACTGCCAGTTACCCTTGTCATTTTTGTCATCTTTGTCATCCTTGTCATCCTTCATGCCGGTAGCATGCCGGCAATTTCTTGCCGTCTGGCCTTCATCAAGTACTGCGCAGGCATGGGAGAGAAATGGTTTGCCGTCGGAGCTGGAAGGATCTCGTTGCAAATCTGAGAGCGCCGAAGCAAAACGGCAAGTAAACATAGTTTAACCGTTTTAACGATGTTTAACCTGGAAACCCAAAAAGTTTTGAACTTTGAAATGAACTAAGATAAACTTCAAGCATCTTCAAGCCAAACCCACTTCACAGCTTGTTCCTGCCAACCTCCACTATCTCATCCAGGAACAGATTGTCAAATACCTTCGCGCGAGAAGCGGAGAGTCTTTGTCAAAAGCAAGTCGCGTGCAGCTGACGGCTCCCGAGCTTTTGCTGTGAGGTATCCAAGACATTCGCTGGAAAGTGTGCTGCAAATATGTTGATGGATGAGACCCATAGCGAGGCGCAAGTTCAAAGAATAGTGCACAGGGACAGAAATCAGTACACAGGCTCAGATCAAGCCACAATGCAGCAACACCCTTGCAAACAAGCTGGACTTTATGGACGGCAATAATCAGCAAACTGGAAACGGCCTAGCACAACAAGAAAATTGCGAATGCCTTTTCCCAGAATTCAAAAAGGCCCTTTCACATGTCATGTAGTTTTAGAGCTTCCAAAGAATACCATAGAATCCGTCCAGGAAGTCCTCTGCAGCTTTCCAAGCAATGAGGAGTTGCTACATTCTTCTGTTTCTATCATTTTCTATCTATCTGTCTGTGGTCTTTTTTTCAGTGATAAACTGACAAGAAGGGTTTTGTAGGGATTATCAAAGCTGATCAGCCTCTGTGTGTACAGGATGTTGCCTGCAATGCGTCACCTGTCTTCGCGACTCCCTACTAGAGTTTCAATCGATACGCTAGGGCTCGTGCCCCATCACTTCCAAGTATCAGCACCTTAGCTTGTCGTCTTTTTCAGGTTCAAGAATCAAAGGCTTGTCGATCCGGCCTGCGTCCCAAGCTGTAAACGAACACATGTCAACGTCAACATAAGGCTTGCAAGTGAATCCATGGCATGATACGCATGATCCATGGCATGGCCGCACCGGACAGAGATGGGCAGCCAGTGCCGACTGCCTGTGCTGAGGTCTTGGCATCACCTTCGTAAGCAGAGACGCAATGCACTGCAGACCCCTTCTCAATGACCTGCCGCAATTCACAAGCTGCGCAGAAACGTGGGACAGCTGTGGGGATGTTTTGCAGAAATGCAGGAAATGTGAAGCAATGGACAACTTCAGAATCTATTTCCGTTGTCTCAGTCTACTAATTCCTTTTTCCAAGCAAAGCTTGGTTGAGAGTTGAGAGGCAATTCAGGAAGCCCAAGTCCCAGTGAAACCCGGAGCAGTCAAACAACGTCCGCAAAACCCATAATTGAACACCACCAGTAAAGTTGCAGGAAAAAGTCAGCGCTCAACCATTTCATTCTAGATGTATGTTACATGTATGTTGTACGTAGCCACTCCATACGAGTCCATCTACCCGGAAACCACAGACTCAGATGTTTTGGATGCCGCAGGCACTTGGTGTCTCATTTAATGCAAGAAACATTGCTTGAATTATGAATTTCTGTGCATGCACTATATTCTTGCTCTTCCAAGCAAATTGAAGAGATGCTCTGTCTTGAAGACCAGTACAAACATGCGCCGCTTCTTTTCAGGTATCCATGACTGAGCATCGTGATATGGAACAAAAAACTGACTACACAGCACCCACTGACAAAACACGAAGAAAAAGAGGCAACTCGCTTTCAGCACTTCACGGTGCTTTGCCTTCATGACCTGGCTGAATTGCTGCTGGCCAGAGCTGATCTGTGGGGGTCTGGGGTTGAGGGTGTGTTCGCTCAACGTTGCGTTTATGTTCGCAACCGTTTTCGCAACTGTTCGCAGCCGTTCGCAACCGTCCGAGTGAGGGCCATATGGCCGTGCCTATGGTAAGTTCTGCAGAAGGGGTCACTTTGGAGGTTTCAAATGTCGCGTTGCTTCGTTTCGCGGCAGGCGTGGCACTTCGTGACATTTAGACGTTTTTCGTAACGTGTCGAAAGTCGTTTTGTGTGGCACGCGCAATACTTTTGCGACGTTTTCGCAAGATAAGTTGCAGTTTTCGTGGCAGGCGCAGCGCTTTGGACGTGTCCAGCTTCATTTAGCGTGGCAGGCGCAGCACTTCAGAAGTGTCGTGTTGCGTGTTTTTTGCGAATCGCATTGTCAGGGCTGCGTCAAGTGGCGACAAGGTGCAAATTCCGTGGCAGGCGTGGCAGTTTGTGAGATGTGATGAAAGTTGACGGAAGCCTTGCACGAAACATCGATTTTGAAGTAGCAAATTCAGAGGTCCCTAGGAAAACTCGTAGGAAAACGTCGATTTTGAAGCTACAAAGTGTGAAAATCGGAGGAAGTCTCGCACGAAATGCTCGTTTTGATGCTCCCACGTGTCTGGTCTCGAGTCTCTGGTTTTCCTGTGGCCTCGCCGCGCCTATGGGGGAAGCTGCAAAACATGTCCTTTTGGGAGGTTTCCAAGCAGGTTGTCATGCCGTTTTGCATGGCAGGCGCGGCGCTTTGTGACATTACAACCTGTTTGATAACGTGTCGAAAGTTGTTTTGTGTGGCACGTGCAGTACTTTTGCGTCGTTTTCACAAGATGCGTTGCAGTTTTCGTGGGAGGCGCAGCATTTTCGAGATCTCTGTCGTCATTTTGTGTGGCACGCGCAGCATTTCAGACGTCTCGTGTTGTGTGTTTCTGGGACACTAGACACTCCACACTTTACACTCCACACTTGACACTCCAAACTCTACACTCCACACTCTACAATCAAAACTTTACACTCCACACTCTACACTTTACACTCAACACTCTACACTTCACACTTTACATTCCACACTTTACACCCTACACCCTACACTCCACACTCTACACTCCACACTCTACACTCCACACTTTACACTCCACATCACTCCGCACTTTGCACTCCGCACTCTACGCTTTACACTCCACACTCCACACTTTACACTCCACACTCCTTACTTTACACTCCACACTCCACACTCCGCACTCCACACTCTACACTCCACACTCTACACTCCACACTCTACACTCCACACTTTACACTCCACACTCCTTACTTTACACTCCACACTCCACAGTCTACACTTTACAATCCACACTCTGCACTCGACACTTTACACTCCACACTTTACACTCTACACTTTTCACTCGACACTTGACACTCCACACTCTACACTCCACACTTGAGACTCCACACTCCACTCCACACTCTACACTTTACACTCCACACTTTACACTATACACTCCTGACTCCTCACTCCACACTCTACACTTTACACTCCACACTTTATAGTGACCGGCTGAAAGATAAAATATTTTTCACTACCAGACACGCGAGTGAGAAAATTACCATCGGCCTCCCACTCGAGAAAAACACCACAAGATAGAATATTAATATAAAATATTCACAAAATTTCACAGAACATCCCCTTGAATATTCTATCTTATCAATTTCGTGCATGCCTGTGCAGAAAACTACTGATGATTTTTGAAGCAACAGGACGCTAAGTCAACATGCCAAGTGGACTCCCTCCTGCCACGGTTATATATCTATATCTCTCTATATAATATGAAAAAAAATATATATATACATATCTTGGAAATCAACACACAAGCATTTCCACACAATGGAATGCTTCCAAATATATAATTTGGAGCCATGTCAGGGTCTCGAAAATATTCTATCTTGTCCGTTTTCGGATTTTTGAGCCTTGTCAAAGCAATGAAACATTATGAGAAAAAAACAATGAACAATTATGAAAAAGAAAGGAAAAACAATGAAAAATGATGAACAAAAGAGAACAAACAATGAAACATTATGAAAAAGATAGAAAAAAAAACAATGCAAAATTATGAACAAGAGAGAAAAAAAACAAGAAGAAATCATGAAAAAGAGTGAAGCAACAATGAAACATGATGAAGCAGAGAGAAAAAACAATGAAAAATGCTGGAAAAGAGCGAACAGACAATGAAACATGATGAAAAAGAGAGAAAAAACAATGAAAAATGATGAAAAATAGAGAAACAACAATGAAAAATGATGAAGAAGAGAGAACCAACAATGGAAAATGATGAAGAAGAGACAAAAACAATGACAAATTATGAAAAATAGAGAAACACCAATGAAACATGATGAAACATAGAGGACAAACAATGAAACATGATGAAACATAGAGGAAAAACAATGAAACATGATGAAAAAGAAAGAAAAAACTATGACAAATGATGAAACAAGGACAAATAACAATGAAAAATGATGAACAAGAGAGAAAAACAACAAGAACAAATGATGAAAAAGAGTAAAAAAACAATGAAACATGATGAAAAAGAGAGAAAAAACAATGAAAAATGATGAACAAGAGAGAAAAACAACAATGAACAATGATGAAAAAGATAGAAAAAACAGTGAAACAGGATGAAAAAGAGATGAAAAAACAATGAAAGAAAACTATAAGGAAAACTGATGAAAAAGAGAAACAAAAACACTGAAAAATGATGAAAAAGAGAGAAGCAAACAATGAAAAATAACTAAAAATGATGAAAGTGTTTTTTCATTGTTTTTTCTCTCTTTTTCATCATTTTTCATTGTTTTTTTCTCTCTTTTTCATCATTTTTCATTGGTGTTTCTCTATGTTTCATCATTTTTCATTGTTGTCTTTCTATTTTTCATAATTTTTCATTGTTCTTTCTCTCTGTTTCATCATTTATCATTGGTGTTTCTCTCTTTTTCATCATTTTTCATTGTTTTTTCCCTATTTTTCATCATTTTTCCATGGTTGTTTTCTCTCTTTTTCATCATTTTTCATTGTTTTTTCTTGTTTTTTTTCATCATTGTTCATTGTTGTTTCTCTCTTTTTCATCATTTTTCATTGTTTTTCTCGATTTTTCATCATGCTTCATTGTTTTTCATCTCTTTTTCATCATTTTTCATTGTTGTTTCTCTATTTTTCATGATGTTGGCTTGTCTTCTCTATTTTTTATCATTTTTCATTGTTTTTTCAATCTTTTTCATCATTTTTTCTTGATTTTTTTCTCTCTTGTTCATTTTTTTTCATTGTTGTTTCCTCTATTTTTCATCATGTTTCCTTGTTGTTTCCCTATTTTTCATCATTTTTCATTGTTTTTTTGATCTATTTTTCATCATTCTTCATGGTTGCCTTTTTTTTAATCATTTTTCATTGTTGTTTCTCGATTTTTTCATCATTTTTCTATGTTGTTTCTCTATTTTTCATCATTTTTAATTTTGTTCCTATCTTTTTCATAATTTTTCATTGTTGTTTCTTTCTTGTTTCATAATTTTTCATTGGTGTTTCTCTATGCTTCATCATTTTTCATTGTTGTTTTCCAATTTTTCATCATTTTTTATTGTTTTTTTCTGTCTGCTTCATCATTTTTCATTGGTGTTTTCTCTCTTTTTCATCAGTGTTCATTGTTTTTTCTATCTTCTCATCATTTTTGCATTGTTGTTTTCTATCTTTTTCATCATTTTTCATTTTTTTCATTTGTTTTTCATCATTGTTCATTGTTGTTTCTCTTTTTTTCCATCATTTTTCATTGTTTTTTCATCTATTTTTCATCATGCTTCATTGTTTTTTCTCTCTGTTTCGTCATGTTTCATTGTTGTTTCACCCTTTTTCATCATTTATTCTTGTTTTTTTTTTCTCTTGTTCATAATTTTTCCTTGTTTTTTTCTCCCTTTTTCATCATGTTTCCTTGCTTTTTTCTCTCTTGTTCATCATTTTTCATTGTTTTTTCTCGGTTTTTCATCATTTTTCCTTGTTTTTTTTCTCTTTTTCATAATGTTTCATTGTTTTTCAATGCTTTTCAATTGTTTAATGTTATTCTTTGAGCTTTGATAAGGCTCAAAAATACGAAAACGGACAAGATAGAATATTTTCGAGACCCTGGCGTGACATGGCTCCAAATTATATATTTGGAAGCCTTCCATTGCGTGGATGTTTTTCCATATGTTTCATTGTTTTTGTTGTATTTTTCATATTCCTGGCGTATCAGATAAAACCAACAATTTTGCTAGGTAAATCCCAAAATATTCAGACTTGTTTCCACCACGTTTTGCGTTAAAACCGCAAAT